CTTATCAGTGAATTTCTGTGGTAGGGATAGAAACTTTAATAAAATCCTAACAGATTCTAATCCTTTGCCAACCTCTTCAAAAGGATTAAAGAAAATCGGATCTGAGGCCCGCAATAGACTCCAAAGTAAAAACACACTCAGTCTTAAACTGTCAAGATGACCAAAGCAGTCCAACCTGAGGGGTGGGTAATGGAGATGAAAAGGACTCCACTCTCCTGACCTGCCACCATATAGGAAGGGGGGGGGGGGGGGGGGGTGTCCAGTGTGTGTGTGTGGGGGTGTCCAGGTGTGCGGGGGTGTCCAGGTGTGTGTGTGGGGGTGTCCAGGTGGGTGTGTCCAGGTGTGTGTGGGTGTGTCAGGAGGGTGTGTTGGGTGTGGTGTGTCGAGGTGTGTGGGTGTGTCAGGTGTGTGTGTGGGGTGGGGGGGGGGGGGGGTGGGTCGGGTGGGTGTGTGTGGGTGGGGGTCCGGGTGGGTGTGGGGGGTGTGTGTGTGGGTGTGTTCAGGTGTGTGGGGGGTGTGGGGGTGGGTGGGGGGGGGGGGTGAGGGGGGGGGGGGGGGGTTGGGGGGGTGGGGGGTGGGGTCCAGGTGTGTGTGGGGGGGGGTGGGTGTGTCCAGGTGTGGGTGGGTGTGGGGGGGGTGGGTGGGGGGGGGGGGTCCAGGTGTGGGGGGGGGTGGTGTGTGTGTGTGGGGTGTCCAGGTGTGTGCGTGGGGTGTGTGGGTGGGTCCAGGTGTGTGGGTGGGGGGGGGTGTCCAGGGTGTGTGTGTGTGGGGTTGTGGGGTGTGTGGTGTGTGTGTGTGGGGGGTGTGTGGGTGGTGTGGGGGTGGTGTGTGGGGGGGTGTGTGGGGGGGGGGTGTGTGTGTGTGTGTGGTGGGGTGTGTGTGTGTGGGTGTGTGTGTGTGTGTGTGTGTGTGTGTGTGGGTGTGGGTGGTGTGTGTGTGTGTGTGGTGTGGGGGTGTGTGTGTGTGTGTGTGTGTGGTGGTGGGTGGGGTGTGTGTGTGTGTGTGTGGTGTGTGTGTGTGTGTGTCCAGGTGTGTTTGTGTGTGTGGGGTGTGGGGGTGTGTGTGTGTATGTGTGTGTGGGGGGTGTGTGTGTGTGTGTGTGGTTACAGGCTGGAGCTGATCTCATTCCTGGGAAGCGGTTCAGATTTCTCACCCCGTCAGTGTTAGGTGTGCTTTTTGTGCAGTGCTGCAAACTGGAACGAATATTCAGGAACAAAGACTGTGTGAATGTTCTAAAACAGTAGTTGTCACTTTATGAGCTACAGTCGGCCTTAAATGCGGCCCCTGACATCACCTAAGGGCCCCACATAATTTAATGCTTGAGCGGACTGTCAGACCTAATAGAAATGAGGGGCAGAGAGTGAGGACAGGATACATTGGCGGGGGATGGCTGCAGAAGACTTTACAGAGCTGGGAACATGTTACATGAGGCTGGCAGAGATCAATGCTTATACCCCAATCAATGTTCCCACTACAGACTGCTGAGGGCCACACATCATATACCAAAGGGCTGCAGGATGGGTACCAGGGTCCTAGACATACACAAATATATATCAGTCATAAGTCTGGTGTTTGCCATTTTTTTTATACCAATAAATGTGAAATAAAGTGGTCGTCCACCAACGAAAAAAAAAAACAAATACTCAGACGCTGCAATGAAGAAGCAAGACATCCCGGGAACTTAGATCCAGAAATTTATTGTAGCTTATAGACTGTTCAAACTGACCTATCACCAATATACAAATCTGAAAGTTACATCCAATGCGCGCCTACATACAGCATCAGAAAGTTTAGAATGCCTTTAGCAGTCGTGTTACAGGTCGCCATATTTTTTATTTTTTTTGCCCCATAAAGTTTTAAAGTCTACGTACAGCAGCTACGGTGAGATTAAAATGGATGTACAGATCTACACAACAAAAACACAGGACGACTGGAGGTCAGAAGATCAAATCTCCTCCGGTTATTCAAGAGCTAGCAGTTATGTGTATCACGTTATCACAGAAGTCATTAAAACAATCCCTGCCCCCCCCCCCCCCCCCCCCCCCATTTTTATCTTACGTAAAAATCTAAGAATTTACACTTATGGTAAAACAAAACAGAAAACAGCCAGCCAAGCCTGCAGTCCTCCCGACTGTGCAAGATGGAGACTCGGAAGCCTGTACCATGCTGACCCCTGCTGGTTACATCTGGTCATTGCACAACCAATTGTAGTGATTGACATCTTAAAATCCTGCTCAAGAAAAAAAAAAAAGAAAAGTTTACGCAGCGGAGGGCAGTTTTTTTTTTTGGTTTTTTTTTTTTCAGACTGATGGAATATTTGTGTGTGCAGGTGATGTCGCTGGTATCTATTAAACCAAAAAGCTGCCTCCGCTGAGCAGACAAGTCACGTTTCTCCCCCCGAGATCCTCTTACCTTTCCAACAAAGGACACCTTCAACTTACCAATCACAAAACAACGTCCGGACAGCAAAATGCGTCAAGTCCTTTCACCTAGAAACCTCCATTTACACCCCAACTACCTTCACCAGGCCACAGAACCAAAGACTTAACAGTTGTTGCAAAACAGAGACGCCTAGCAGCATTCAAATATGTACAAATCAATATTTCACCGCGAAACATCAACCGTGACATTGATAGGTCTCTATAAATATATCGCGAGGAGCGGCGGTGCTCAGGAACTCATTCCCAACAATGTAGTGAATAGGCCTCTCTGGGTGTCAGCTCATCGATCCTTTAGTGTACTAATAACGAACGCCTGTTAGTGTTCCACAGCTACAAACTTCCCTGCGATTGGTCATGAAAAATATCATCCGTGGGATCTGTAATCGACCGTTATCATCCGTGGGATCTGTAATCGACCGTTATCAGCCGTGTGATCTGTAATCGAATGTTATCAGCCGTGTAATCCGTCATCGAACATTATCAGCCGTGTGATCGTCATCGAACGTTATCAGCCGTGTGATCCGTCATCGAACGTTATCAGCCGTGTGATCCGTAATCGAACGTTATCAGCCGTGTGATCCGTAATCGAACGTTATCAGCCGTGTAATCCGTAATCGAACGTTATCAGCCGTGTAATCCGTAATCGAACGTTATCAGCCGTGTAATCCGTAATCGAACGTTATCAGCCGCGTAATCCGTAATCGAATGTTATCAGCCGTGTAATCCGTAACTTTCATATCTGTACTCTTCCGATCACACGTCATGGAAGCCAGTTTGCCCAATTTGAACGCTTCTCCTGCACAAAGATATATAGATATATATACAATTACAACTATATCTGGGTCATGTGACCTGCTGTCGTTGCCCCGAGCAACCGGCAGAGCCAAGAGAACCTGGTTGCTGGAAAGGAAACGGGCAGATCTTCAGGTTTCCAATGAGAGCTTGGCTTTATGACGAACAACGGTGAGGTTTGGTTCGGTGGCCGTGGTCTCTTAGTGTTTCAGAGATGATTTACCAATAGGTCAATATTTAATACCTAACAATCCTTCCACAAAAGAAGGGATTCTTCCAGAGGTAGGAAGTGCATGGCTCTCCAGCCGCTGTGTATATACACCTTCCAGGGCTTGCTGGGATCCTACGCCGGCTGGAAAGCCAATGGCTACCTACACCCAGAATACAGTGAATAACAGTTACTAAGCACTTACTACATTCCCTGTGGCGGCGGGCACCTACCCAGCCACCAGTAAACCAATAAACAGTTTATGCCGCTACCCCCGGGACAGCCCCGCTCAAACTCTCGCCATGTTTTCCTCGCCTGCTCTCTTTAAGCGCACACTCTGATACAAAAGGCGCACAGTTCCCACTGAAGCCGCTGATTCTGAATCTGATCAGTGAAGCAGGCTTGCCGTTGGGGGGGTTCTGTGAGCCATTTTATTGAACAAACCCATGCGCTTAAAAAAAGAAAGAAAAAACAAAAAAAATCGGAAACTTTCCTGTAAACAATATTATCGCCCAGCTACACGAGGCAGAGGGCGACTAAACCAACGAGGGCGACTAAACCTCACATCGTTACCAATGCCTCCCGCCCACAGAATAATAAAACTCCCCCACTGGGGGCCTGGAAGTACCCATACGTCTATATCTTTACTGCTCTGCAGAAAAGTGACATTAAGAAAAGCAAGGGACGTGGAGCTGGCTGCCGCCTTGTCCCATGGAGGTCTCGTGTGCTGTACATATGAGGCAGTGCGATGCCCCGGAAGTCATCAGGAGTTACTCCAGCTCTGTACTCTCTAGCTAGGCAGTCATTCGTACCGAGCCAACAGAAACCAAGGAGAATCACTGGGCAGTGAGCAGACAACAAGCCGCCTCACAGTCTCCTGCAGACCTCTGCCAGCCTTGGGAAAATAAAAAAAAAAACAAAAAAATATCACCTCACTGAGGCTGTGCCAGGCTGTCACAAGTGCCAACCTGCATTTCATGACTCCAAACCCCTTTACACCACCAACATGGACATAATTACATTGATTTCAACATATTTACAAAAAATATTAAAAAGTTAGTCTTCTACAAGCCCCCTTTCACCATCGGCGGAGCCACCGGCAAAGATGCCAAGCAGTGAAGGCCAAAGGCGGAGACTGGCACCTCAGACAGTTAAAGGGGTTCTTATATTTTCTGTATCAGAGGATGTTGTCATTATTGGACCATGCAGTACTTTGGGTGGAGAACAAAAAAAAAAAAACAAACAATAAAATCACCAGGCTTTGTGGAGTCCCTGTGCCCCGTCAGTAAATTTTTGCATTTTTCAGAAAACAGATAAGGAATGACAGTTGTGGTCCAGAAAGAGCCGTGTCCCTCGGAGAGGACATGGTCATTGCAGAATGGATTGGAACACTGAGCGATGATGACCCCAGCCACTCAGCAGGCAGAAGAGAGGAAGCATGGTTGTTCCGTGAGGCAGGTGGGATGTGTCTGGAATGACTTTGTACACGGTGCGCCTGCGGGAAGAGAGGGGGGGGGGCGTGTGCTGTGGTGACTGGGCGGAAATGACGGCAGCGGAGATCAATAGGTCAGAGTGGAGTCGTCCCACTCCAGCTGCTGCTGCCGGTTGACATTCTGCTGGTCTTCCTCTTGTTCTCCCTCCTCTTCCTCGCTGCTTTCTGATTCGGCGCTGGTGATGTCATCATCTTCTCCATCCTCGCTCTCTTCACTGTCCGGGTAAAGAGCTCTACACTCATCATCGTCCTCCTCTTCCTCCTCACTGCTGTGCTGGTCCTCATAGGTCTGCAGTGGAGAACAAAACAAAACATGTAAGAACCCATTCAAATGGTGGCCCTTCATCCTCCTCTTCCTCCTCACTGCTGTGCTGGTCCTCATAGGTCTGCAGTGGAGAACAAAACAAAACATGTAAGAACACATTCAAATGGTGGCCCTTCATAGTTCTTCCTGGGGCCCCAACTTCTCCAACCGTGCAATGATGATGCGAAGTGCACTTGGAGGTGTGAGGTAGAGGAGGGCTCATCCAGTGATGAAGGTTTAACCGCCTAAAGGACTGCGGACGGGCTGTACTGGTACATTGCCGCCTGCTTCCGGGTATAGAGCACACACATGCCGGATATGTTTTATAACTGAAAGTAAAAAAAAATACACAGTTTTTTGTTTTCATTTTTGGTCTTTTTTCATTTGTATTGAAAAAATAAATCCAGTGGTGATCAAATACCACCAGAAGAAAGCTCTCTTTGTGTGAAAGAAAGGATAGAAATTTAATTTGGGTACAGTGTTACATGACTGCACAATTACCAGTTAAAGTAGCGCACTGCCGAATAGCAAAAAAGGCCTGGCCATGAAAGGGGTAAAAGCATCCGAAATGGAAGTGGTTAAAGTGACCCCACTGCAAGAGAAATCAACTAAAATGTTGGAGCTGCCGGAAGCAGCTCAAAACATTTCTCCCTGCAGAGCTACTGCCATTCGATATGTGTTGGGTAAATGTGTGCCTACCACAGGCTGTCATTCCTCTGCCCTGCCGCTGGCTGGACTCAACACCCTCCAAAACCTTCATGAAGAACCACAAAATGCATAAACACAAAAGACTAAACTCCAGCTTTTAAAGCACCTGTAAATAATTGTAAGCTCCCAGGATCAGGCCCTCCTAGCCCTCTTGTATTGAAATGTATTGTCTCCCATTATATTGCAAAGTGCTGAGCAAACTGTTGGCGCCATAAATCCTTTATAAATAATAATAATAAGCTGCAAAAGAGTTAAACTCTGAGCAAAAAAAAAAAATTTCAGCATACCCCTCAACAGTCAACAAGGACACAGATCCACTCTGTGGGCACCAAATGTCCTCACCAGTCATCACCTTGTAAAGGAAGTAGCAGTGACATCCTCATTCTACAGACACCAGAGCTCTCGGAGTCCCATTAACAATGGAAGCAGCCATGATTGTTCAACACCAGCCAAAATCTGTTTTGTTTTTTTTTCGTATTTTAGTGTCCCCTTTACGAAAGATATTCCTCACTTACTGTTAGGACTGGAAGAGATGGGAAACCTCTCAAGTAGGGAGACAGATTGCTTCCCTTCCCAATGATAACGGAGTACAAGAGGGACATGAGGTCATTGACATCAACAGTCTCTACCAGGGGCAGACTGACCATTTGGAAACTCGGGCGCTGCCCGAGGGCCCGGGGTCAGTAGAGGGCCCCATGAGATGCCCCTGGTACCTTTTCCATAGGCCTTTTTGAGTTTGGGCAAGGATACAGGAGCCCCATGATCCCCTATTGCCCAGGGGCCCCATGAGTTGTCAGTCCCCCCTGGTCTCGACACAAGTATGCGCTCTTACGAATGAAAAAGGTTTTAGAATAATTGGCAAGAATCGGATTATTAAATTAGTATGTGTAATTGGGACAAGGCAAGTGTAGAGGGGCCTTTAACCACTCACCCTCCGGAAGATCCACCTGCCCTTCCTGACAAGGCCACGTTTTGCGATACGGCGCTGCAATACGGCAGTTGCACGGTCGTGCCTTGTTTTCCCCCCACAAATAGAGCTTTGGTGGTATTTGATCACCTCTGCGGTTTTTTACTTTTTGCATCATAAACAAAAAAAGATCGACAATTTTGGGGAAAAAAAACACAAAACAATATTTTTTATTTTTTACTATAGAACAAATCGAATTTAAAAAAAAAAAAAAAAAAAAAAATGTAAAAACCAAATTTCTTTATAAATATAGGCCAAAATGTATTCTGCTACATATTTTGGTTAAAAAAGAAAAATCACAATAAATGTAGATTGGTTTGGGCAAAAGTTATTGCGTCTACAAACCATGGGACATACCGGAATTATTTTTTATACTAGTAATGGTGGCGAGCAGCGACTTATATCGGGAGTGCAATACTGAGAGGACATTTTCACACTGACACTTTGTGGGAACCAGTGACACTAATACAGTGATCAGTGTACTGATCACTGTACTAATGACACTGGTTGGGAAGGGGTTAACATCCAGAGTGATCAAGAGGTTACACATCCATGTGTGCCTAGCTATGTGCTTGGTGTACACTAGGTGGTGCTTGTACTAGGGGAAGTGAAGGATCATGTTCCCAGCTTTGCAGGGACACAGGATCCTTCACTTTCCCACCTGTCAGAAGAGAGCTCTGCCTGTTTACATAGGCAGAGCTCTGTTCTTTCTCCTGTCCGATGATCGGCAGGTGTCGGCAAATATCCGTTCACCAGGACTCAAAGATTGGATTCTGCCACGAGTTTTAATATCCATTACACGGTTTTCAGCAAAACCAATAAGCACAGCTCGATCAAGATGTGGCTCAGATGGCTATGAAACCTGTCTACATCTGCACTGATGAGGGAGAAAGCTAAGTGTTTCACTGACCTCCATGGGGTTGACGGTGATGGTGAGGGCCGAGTCATCCCAGTCCATCTCATTTTCTTTGCCACTTTCTTGGTCCCTCATGGTGCGCTGGTGAGCGGCACGGATACGAAACACACCAAGGATGATCATGAAGACTAGAAAGCTCACACAGACCACGATGACGATGGTGGCTGCGCTGGGAACAACTGCAGGAGAGAAAGCAGGATGAGAAGTATAACATGTGTGACTGCTCTGAGGTCAGTGGCTCCTTCCCTCCCCAGGCCATCATTATGTGTCACAGTACAAAAAGGCAGCCTGAGAGAATACAGCAATACTGTGTGTATAGAAATTCTCCAAAAAGGACAAGAGGTCCATCACCTTAGGACACTAGCACAAACCTGAGGACTCTCAAGAGTTGGGTAGGATTATGGAGGGGACAACCAGGCGCGAGTCCTCAAAAGTTTTGCCAGTGTTGAAGGCACCAGCCTATAACCCAAGTACCATGAATATCAAGCCTGTGTCCTGTACTGTATGATTAAGGTAACGACTGATCCGCTCCCTGACATTGGACATGTTGGATATCGCGGTACACAATCTATGTCATATCAATGGTCACACTGTGATACCAGCAGAGGGAGCTGTAAGCAAGCTCCAGTTTCCCGCTCAGAACACACAGATTCATGTTTGTTTGCGGTTGTCAGGCTCTGTGTGCACAAACAACCTTATACCAATGAATATGGGAGTTAAAAAAAAAAAAAAAGAATTTTCTCTGCAAGAAAACACAGAATCAAAGACTTAAGCTTTAAAGCAGAGAAGGGATAAAACATCACGTGACCACCAACAAATTCATGCATACCGGCACTGCCATGCCATTTTTTCCCCAGATTTCATCACAACAAATGATATACTATGCCCCGTATTATGGATCCATAGGGCCTGTCATGTCATACTGTACCGCAGCAGTACCTGATGTCGGGTGTGGATTGATCAGATTGTGCCCGGAGAGATCCTCGAAGGAGTGATGCGCATTGTGGACAAACTGGGGCTGAAATGCTATGTGATTGGGGGCCTCAGCAGGGCTGGCTGTGTGGATCACATTAACCTGAATTAGGAGAAATATTCCAGTGTTATAATATATAACAAACTCGAGCAACAACTTCACTGCTTTATATCTTCTAAAATCACCAAAATGCACTCAGTTTACACTCTTCAGAAAGCACATAGCAGGCAGGCAGTGAGGAGGTGGACCGCCTCCTCACCATCTGCGTTAACCCCATTTGAATCCTGCGGTTTGTGGGGCACCCCCCTTCACATGAATTGGGCTCACGTTCGGTAATGCCCACTGAATGTAACAGCAGGGATCACTGCGATGCAGAGCAATGCGGCCAAAAGTATACGTACACACCCCTTTGCAGCTAAAAAGAGAGTGGTAAAACCATGCCTCAATTGCATGGTTTTACTGCCTCCTAACCACTACTGTAAACAAGCCCTGAGTAGAAGGTAAAACTGGGCTCAGTCGCAGCACAAAAAGCTACAGCTTGCTTTTGGACAAACAGCTCTCCAAAAATGAGTGTGGTGGCCTCACACCGGGCTGACGGATGAGATGTCAAAATATGTTCATACCATTTCAACAGAATCTCTGGAAGAACTCTTCTGGGAGGTTTCCCTATCAGTCACCCACAGGGGGCGGTACAGCGCCATTCACCAAAGTGTGAGCTCCTCCATTTGTGTCAAATCCCACAGGAAGCTGCCAATGGCAAGCGAGGGTCAAGCTTCTCTTCCCAGGCAGCTTGTATCTGCCCCCTTGATGCCATTCACACAATGGCCAACCTTCCACCTTACAATTCTACACAATATGACTTGGGGCCGGGTTCACACTACATTAACGCAGTCCAGATGCGTTCCGAAAAAATTTCCGCAGGCGCGTTTTTGACGCGTCCCAGTGCGTTTTTATGCATTCCAGTTCATTTTTTCCCCTACCTTTTTCTTCAATTTAAATAGGGACATGTGCGTTCTTGATGCGTTTTGGTGCGTTCCACCGCATTCCAGTACAGTTCTGTGCAGAAAAATATGCAGCCTGTTCTACTTTTGTTTCTGCAACCGGAACGCACTGGAACTGCAAGCACTGATGTGAACTATGATACTGAAAACCAGATCATCTACTTTCTATGTGTTTTAGTTGCAGAAAAAAAGCAACAGAAACGCATATAATGTGAACCGGCCCTAAAAGTATGACCCCCCCCTTCCAAATGACGGAGTTCCAGGGTTTTCAGGCTACAGCATACAGACATTTTAGACAATTGTATACTTTCAACCTTCTGGGGGCACAATTAGGGAAGACCCCTTTCTGTACCAGCATGAACGTCCCGCGTGCACAAAGGCAGATCCACAGACACATGCTTTGGCCAGTATGTTGGGTGGGAACTCAAGTGGCCTGCACAGATTTCATATACGTATGTTATGGTACCTGTTAGGTTTAGGTGGACATATAGGGGGTTATTTACTAAAACCGCACGATGCAAAATCTGGGGCAGCTCTGCAAAGAAACCGATCGGCTTCCAGGTTTTACGATGCAAAATCTGGGGCAGCTCTGCAAAGAAACCGATCGGCTTCCAGGTTTTACGATGAAAAATTTGAGGCAGCTCTGCAAAGAAACCGATCGGCTTCCGATGCAAATTCTGGGGCAGCTCTGAAAAGAAACCAATCGGCTTCCAGGTTTTAAGATGCAAAATCTGGGGCAGCTCTGCGAAGAAACCAATCGGCTTCCAGGTTTTACGATGCAAAATCTGTGGCAGCCCTGCAAAGAGACCAATCGGCTTCCAGGTTTTACGATGCAAAATCTGGGGCAGCTCTGTGAAGAGACCGATCGGCTTCCAGGTTTTATGATGCAAAATCTGGGGCAGCTCTGCGAAGAAACCGATCGGCTTCCAGGTTTTACGATGCAAAATCTGGTGCAGCTCTGCAAAGAAACCGATCGGCTTCCAGGTTTTACGATGCAAAATCTGGGGCAGCTCTGTGAAGAGACCGATCGGCTTCCAGTTTTTTATGATGCAAAATCTGGGGCAGCTCTGCGAAGAAACCAATCGGCTTCCAGGTTTTCCGATGCAAAATCTCGGGCAGCTCTGCATAGAAACCAATCGGCTTCCAGGTTTTATTGCCAAAGTTTAACTGAACAAGCTGAAGTCAGAAGCTGATTGGTTGCCATGCACAGCTGCACCAGATTTTGAGTGCTCCAGTTTTAGTAAACCTCCCCCACAGTGTAGTTGCAGAAAAAGCTGCCCCTTTAATCCATAAAGCCCCTGCTCTCCTTTCACACTCACCTCCACCTTGAACTCGTTGCTGCTGTAGCGCCCATTCAGCTCAGAACAGACCAGTTTGAATTTACGATCAAACAAGGTGGCGGTATTCCAGTTTCTGTAGCGGATGAGATGCAGGACCTCCTCATAGTTGGCCATGGTGTCAACACCTGCAATGCATGAAAAAGTTTCTTACTCCTCTGTGCGGTATGTGGATTTCTGAGGAGACCTCCATTTAACCCTTTTGCTGCCAGAGCCGTTTTTGCTTTTTATTTATTTTTTGCATACGTTTAAAACATCATTTTAGGCTTAAAGATCTAAAGATTACACAAAACCCCCAAATGTATATTTCCTGAAAGACACCCTAGAGAATAAAACAGTGGAAGTTCCAATTTTTTATTTTACATAATATTACCACAAAGGTCTAGGAAATGCAAAATTTCAGTAAAAAACACACTAAAAGTGAATTTTAGGGCAAACACAATAAATTAGGGTTCATGGATTGTAAGCTCGAAAGAGCAGGGCCCTCGATCCCCTCATGTTTTGCATTGTATTGGTATTGTTCTGTCACATGTTCTGTCCCCCTTTGTAATGTACAGCGCTGAGCGAACTATGGCGCTTTATAAATACTGTATAATAATAATAATATTAATGCACACGGGGCGTTTGAAAAACTCTTCTGACCGCTGGAAACTGACTGCTAGAAAACGTAGGTTAAAAACGTCAGTTCAGCCGCATTTACCTACCGCGTTTATGCACGTTTGTGTTTAAAAGCGTTTTTACAAGTTAACCTCAGGAGACCCTCCCAAATGCCCAGAATGCACTGAAAAATAGTAAATTCACTAAAAAAAGGCTACTAAAATACTGCATGAGTTATTTTATCAAGTCATGCGGTATTTTAGTAGTGAAAAGCATGCATCATGTTTCAGCTGTCAGCAGGATTCCCACTGACAGCTGAATGTAAAAGAAAGAATTGCCGGCAATTAAAAAATAATAAAAAAAAGTGGGGTTCCCCCTCCATCCATACCAAGCCTTTTGGATTTGGTATGGATATTGAGGGGAAGCCCCACACCAAACTTAAAAAAAGAAAAAAAAAAAAAAAGGCATGGGGGTCCCTCCCAAAATTCATACCAGACCCTTATCCGAGCATGCAGCCCAGCAGGTCAGGAAAGGGGGGGGGGGGGGGGGGTGTCATTGACCACAGCTGATCACGTGGTAAAAAGCCGCTGTGATTGCCTGTTTACCTCATCAAGTGATCAGCTGATCACAGAGATCGCCAGGTGCGCATCACTGGGGGCACAAGGGAGGGCGCGTTCTGGGAGTACGTCATATGATGCGCTCTCAGAGCAGGACAAGCGCGCTGTAGCAGCAACAACTTCAGTACCCTATATTTTCTATAGGTGACACTTCAAAAGCCCCTACAGGAAATCAGTTTAGTGTTACGGAGGGGGTCTTGTGCTCAAATTATTGAGCACACTCTGGCGTGCACGACGACATGCACAACAGGTGTATCACAATCAACATTTTTACTCATAGGCGCGCCCCCGACACATACGTTTACGTTCGTACATGTGGGGGTGGGGCCTCAGAATATTTTCGGGGAGGGGTATTTATTTTATGTAAATCACAGGATAAGTGAGCGCTGGAGTAAAATTATAAAATTAAAATGAATTAAAAAGGAAGAACACCATATAAAAAGGCACCATATAAACCTCCAAAATAGTCAGAATAAAGCAGGGTGCAGCGCTAAAATGATCCGTTAAATTGTATAGACATATTGGATTCAAACATCCTCATATAAAATGAAAATGAAAAAATCACATAAATCAATTGATTTATGTGATTTTTTCATTTTATTGCATTTTATATGAGGATGTTTGAATCCAATATGTCTATACAATTTAACGGATCATTTTAGCGCTGCACCCTGCTTTATTCTGACTATTTTATGTGTTTGGGTGTAACTATTTTTTTTTTTACTTAACTTTTTTTTTTTTTTTTTTTTTTAAACACATAGGGGACACAAAGTCCCTCCACATGTTACAGGAGGCTGTGGAAGCAATCAGGCGGTAACAATGCCGTCCAACTGCTTCCACCTGACAGGCAGGAGTTTGCTTGTCAGTTTTATACACAATCCCAGTGTGCTGCCACCACATTGTGTAAAAAAAAAAAAAAAAAAACCCCGCTGGCAGTGAAAAGGTCAACAGAGTTCTTGCAGCCTTAAGAAAAAGAGACAAATAATTAGCTTTTATATAGATGTTTAGCCTATCACACGCAGAAACTGCTGGAAAATGTTAGAGGAACGTCAATGTAAAATATTTTAGCCAGTGTTTGAAAGCGAGAAGATCTACTTTGCAGAAAACTATCTGCATAATGAACGTAGGAGTACTGATCTGCCTGATAAACAATTCCCATCATTTGTAATTTACCAAAAAGGGCTGTGAGCCGGGGGCAACAGACATCAGCCACCCCACAGGAATTTCCAAAGCCAGTTGGGAGATCTGCAGGCTTGTTCAGGATCAGTTCAAAGACTAACATGCAAAGTACCGTATTTTTCGCTCCATAAGACGCACTTTTTTTCCCTCCCAAAAAAGGGGGAAAAATGTCAGTGCATCTTATGGAGCGAATATAAAGCGGCCGGTCCGGTATTTCCGCCGCCACTGTGTCAGAATACTGGGCCGGCCACTCAGCTATTTTCTGCGGCAGGAACTCACCTGTTCCTCGGTCCAGCGCTGTAGCTTTCCCGCCCCGGGATCTGTGACAGCCGGGTGCCCACTGCGTATGCGCAAGTCCCAAAAGACGCCGAGCCATTCACAAAGCGCAGCGCTTTCTCGCGCATGCGCAGTGAGCACCCGGCTGTCAAAGTCGGGTGCCCACAGTATAGACAGGAGAACTCCGCGGAAATGGGAGCGGGTACTTGTCAAATTCAGGGACCCACTCCCCCTCCCTCCCTAAAGGTCCGCAGTCTCTGGCCATCCCCTGCACTGTCCGCAGTCTCTGGCCATCCCCTGCACTGTCCGCAGTCTCTGGTCATCCCCTGCACTGTCCGCAGTCTCTGGTCATCCCCTGCACTGTCCGCAGTCTCTGGTCATCTCCTGTACTGTGTCCGCAGTCTCTGGTCATCTCCTGTACTGTGTCCGCAGTCTCTGGTCATCTCCTGTACTATGTCCGCAGTCTCTGGTCATCCCCTGTACTATGTCTGCAGTCTCTGGTCATCCCCTGTACTATGTCTGCAGTCTCTGGTCATCCCCTGTACTATGTCTGCAGTCTCTGGTCATCCCCTGTACTATGTCTGCAGTCTCTGGTCATCCCCTGTACTATGTCTGCAGTCTCTGGTCATCCCCTGTACTATGTCTGCAGTCTCTGGTCATCCCCTGTACTATGTCTGCAGTCCACTGGTTCAGAATATTTTTTTTCTTGTTTTTCTCCTCTACAACCTAGGTGCGTCTTATGGAGCGAAAAATACGGTAACCAAATTTCAGGGGACTGAAGCTGGATATATGTCAATGATTCTGGATGGGTTACTATACATTTGCAGATCTTCTATTCTATTTGCGGTACTTTCCTGTATAACCTCACCAGCCTGTCCCTGGTGTCCTCCCCGAAGTAACACCTTACGGCAATCTGACACAGTGCTGACTAACCTGTGATGACGATCCCTTGGTTGGAGCTGGTCATCTCAAGCCCTTTCTGCTGCAGGTGAGTGAGATCCAACTGGAGACTCTCCTGGTCAGGATTCAGTTCTTCTCCCACTACAGTGACCTCACAGGTGTCCAGGTTATGCATGATCTCCTCCGAAACCAAAGACTCTTGAACTGAAGGGGAAGAATCAAAGGAAAACCACCTCAATGTCTGGAAAAAGTCCAGTTGACATCTTTCTTATCACATGTACATATTCGTATCCTGGGACCATTTGTCAGCCTTGCTGTACAAGTATATGGAAACTCCTCACTTTGTAAAACAACCCATTCAGTTTAAAATAGAAATGAAAGGTATTTATAATGTAATTTTTTTTTAAATAAGTTACTAAATTTCCCCCACACAGAGAGCTGGGGGAGGAAAAACAGCAGTACACCGAGCTTCCCAGTTAATGGGTGGGGGGGGGGGGGGGACGACAATACAAGGAGAAAAGGATACTTTTTCATACAAGTACATGGTACAGCAGGCACATATCAGGAATATGTAATGTTGGGTTTACATACTCTTTAAGATTACTAATTCTGGGGCTACTGAGCATAACTTGGGGTTATAGGATTTCTGTATTGATACAGTCCTGCCTGTGATTATATGGTACATTCACATCAGTCTATGCACCAGAAGAGCACGCACACTCCGCTCCTCACAAGACCTCCTTCTCTCTAGTTCCCTGGTCTCCTCCTCCCATGCCCGCCTCCAGGACTTCTCAAGGGTGTCACCCATCCTCTAGAACTCCCTGCCCCAACCCATCAGATTATCACCTACTCTTCTCTCCTTTAGGCGCACCCTGAAAACCCATCTCTTCAGGGAAGCCTACCCCACCCCCTGCTAACTTGCCGACCTCCTCCACTCTTCCTACCACTCCATCCCCCACAGCTATCTCCTCCTGTGCCACCATCCCCTCCCTCCTAGATTGTAAGCTCGAAAGAGCAGGGCCCTCAATCCCCTCATGTTTTGCATTGTATTGGTATTGTTCTGTCACATGTTCTATCCCCCTTTGTAATGTACAGCGCTGAGCGAACTATTGGCACTTTATAAATACTGTATAATAATAATAATATTCTACCATCCACATCACAGTCACACACCCGGATAAAACTAGCAAAATATTTATAGGTTTGGGATGGACTGATACACGCAACAACAAACCGAAATGGTTACTGATCCCAGATCCCTACTTATGGTAAGAGGAGGTATTCTGGCATACGAGATGCATTTGTGGATTCCCCGTGTATAATAAGATGTACTATCGTCGTGAAGAGGGTTTTTTTTAAGTAACCATTAGCGTTGAACTAATTTATTTTTCAGCACCAGAAGTACGTTGCTGCTGCTGGTAGTTTTGGATGGAAGGCGTCTGGCCCTGGGAAGCTACTGTGTAGCCGACTTACACTTTATCCTCAAACTAAAGGACCCGCTAATATATCATTTCCCCTCCCTGTCCTTAGCCTACAGTGAGCTTAGCACAACCTTATGACTACAATAGACCGTTGTTCGCCTTTCCTATTTCTTAAATCAGGGGTGTCAAACTGGCGGCCCTCCAGTTGTTGCGAAACTACAAGTCCCAACATGCCTCTGCCTTTGGGAGTCATGCTTGTAATGGTCAATCTTGCAATGCCTCATGGGACTTGTAGTTTGGCAACAGCGGGAGGGCCGCCACTTTGACACCCGTGTCTTAAATAGTCATCTCCTCCAGTGCAATAGCCTCTCCACTAACAACAAGCAGTTATGTGCAAAGCAGTGGTGAGATCCTTCCCTATAGTAACAAGGAAATCTGGTCAGATTTGGGTGCAATGAAGATAGCCGTGTATATGAATGCTGAAGGGAATGTGAGTGTTTCCTCCCATTTCGGAGTTCGGGCACATAGAAGAACTCACCAGTAGGATCCTCGTCCCCTTCTCCCTCCGCCTCCACCTCCCGGGTGATGGTGCTGATGATGTGAAGTTCCGGGAATAAGGACACGCCCTCTGTGCTCTCAAACTCTGAGGCTGCGCGGGCAAAATGGTCAATGCCGCTCAGGCTGATCTTGGGCTCCTCGGGCTGCAACACCATGACATAGCCATCCACATCGGGCACACTGATACAGGTCTCCTCGTTGAAGCACCTACGGCAGCAAACAATATGGTCAAGCAATAGATTCGCTTCCTGATTTCTTATGCTACACTGTGAAGGGGCCACGTCACCCAAAGAGCAATATTCAGTATCTCGTATATGACTGAGAGGAGCCTAGATTTTCAGTCTCTAGCCTCTCTTCCCATTGTCGGCAGATTCCGGCCCTCTGTCAGTTGATGTCAGAGTTGGCCCAGGCTCTGAAGGATCCCAACAATGTCTGGATCATCAGCAGGCTTGGCCTCTCAGTGTATCGCTGGGAGCCTGAGCCCGCCGTTCCCACCCCCTCCACAGTCTGGCACTCCAGTGAGTGCTGGAGGGGCACAGCAGAGAGCAATGACTGGCAGTCACTGCTCTCTGCTCAAAGCAGACTGAGAACCGAGCGACCAGCAGTCATGTGATCACTCAGTTCAAAAGCCAAGAGTAGTCAGGGAACAGCTTGGAGATGAGTATGTATGCTTGGTTCTTTTAGATCTTCTTCAAATACTTTTGCTCTGGAAAATTCCAAAACATTCAGTTGAATGTCATGGCTCTCTGTGGGTAAAATAAGCTCAGTGCTGTACTAAACTGACCACATAACATCGCCACAAATTTCAAAACAACCACCTGCACAGTGAACACATCATTGCTTTGGGAGAGCCTGATAGAAGAATCTAAAAACAGGACCTGAGCATCTCCTCAGCATGGCTCGGCTAAGCAGCTCTACACAGGACCAAATAAAATGACAAGTATTGTTTAATACTTCAGGATCAGGAGCCTGTGACAAAGATGTAATCAGCAGGTACACAGCCTGCTAGTTTTTAGTCTATGATCAAATAAAATTCTATATACACCAAATTTATGTTCAACCCAACCTCCTGCAGGATTTCATGTCTGTATTGTGAAGAATGAAGTTATCAGGAAATCACACATACTTCACAGTGGTTGTAATCTTCAGCCTTCTGATTCCAGGTGTAGGGAACTGGCGGGAGTTCAGATAGGAGATGTGCTGCATGGCCTGGTCAAAGCGATCAATGTCATCACCTTCCAGGGTCAACGAAGATTGGCTGGGACTTAAAGTGATCTGTGGGATGAGATTCAACATTCACCAAAAGGTTCTGAATTACATAATTAAAAAATATTAAAAAAAAGGTTAAGAATTTCAACTGCTGTCCCTCTTTAAAGCTCACCTTTGGGAACATGTTTTAGGGTGGAACGTGTAACATTTCCCATCTCTGCAGTAGCAGCTGCCTTATTCCCCCCCCCCCCCCCCTGCACGGTAGCAGTATGGGAAGAAACTCCCCATACAAGCCATCAGTTTTTGAAAACAGCACGGCTGTGTGGGGCTCCGCCCACATGGCTGCGTCATTCATTCACAAAGTTCTGTGAATGAATGAACTACAAGTCCCAACATCCATTGCAGCTGCCGGCTTGTAGTGCTCAATGAGCTAGCATGGCGCTGTAAAGAACTGTGATAGTCCACAGAGTCTTCCTGTCAGACTGAATATGCTTGCCCAAACAGGATGTTTGCAGGATTCCTCTGCATGGCACCAGCAATCTGCTCATCGCTGGTGCAATGCTTTTCAGGATCAAAAAAATAAAAAGTAAATTTAAATTTTTTTACCTGCAAAAAAATGGGTGTTTAAAAAAAAAAAAACAAAAAAAAAAGATAAAGTGAACATATCCTTTAATAATGTATCCTGTATCCTAGCAAGACTGAATATAGAAGCATGACCTCTCTCTTTATTTAAAGGCACCCATTGCTTTGCCCACAAGAAGCAAGAAAGAGGATCAATTCAGTTGGCCCCCCTACCCAGAACCGCATACACACCTTTCCTTCACTCTATTATAGGCATTTATAAAGTGCCTTCAAGTTACACAGTGCTTGTACATATTGTACATTCACATCACCACACTCACATGGGAGAGAATTAAAGAAGTATTAGAAAAGGTCTTAGGACACATAACTTATTACATTTTTAGGAATATCATCACAGAGTCAACCGGTCTAACATTCTGTGATTGATTCTATACAGAAATAATAGAGGATAACGAATTTACCAAATACATTTCTCAAAACAAAACTAAGACACAGACCAGATACTTTCATGCCAAAAGGTTTAAATGTTGAACTGGCCATTAATTCCTTTATTAGCAATAATAAATTACATAATAAATACATACACTCACACACACACGTATATATATACATATACACACACACACACACACACACGTATATATATATACATATACACATATACACACACACACACGTATATATATACATATACACACACACACACACGTATATATACATATACACTCACACACATACACACATACTGTAACTGTAAAAAGACATTCCTCAAAACAAGACTAAGATACACATCAGATACTTTTTCTCCAAAACGTTTAAATGTTGAACTGGCCATTAATTCCTTTATTAGTAATTTTTAGGTAACTTGCATATATATGTATTTATATTTAGTATGTACCGTATTTTTCGCTCCATAAGACGCACTTTTTTCCCCGAAAAAAAGGGGGGGAAATGTCAGTGCGTCTTATGGAGCGAATATAAAGCGGCCGGTCCGGTATTTCCGCCGCCACCATGTCAGAATACCGGGCCGGCCGCACAGCTGTTCTCTGCGGCAGGAACTCACCTGTTCCTCGGTCCAGCGCTGTAGTCTTCCCGCCCCGGCATCTGTGACAGCCGGGTGCCCACTGCGCATGCACGAGAAGCACATGACAGGTCCCAAAAGACGCCGGGCCATTAACAAAGCGCAAGTGCTTCTCGCAGTCTCTGGTCATCTCCTGTACTGTCCGCAGTCTCTGGTCATCTCCTGTACTGTGTCCGCAGTCTCTGGTCATCTCCTGTACTGTGTCCGCAGTCTCTGGTCATCCCCTATACTGTCCGCAGTCTCTGGTCATCCCCTATACTGTCCGCAGTCTCTGGTCATCCCCTATACTGTCCGCAGTCTCTGGTCATCCCCTATACTGTCCGCAGTCTCTGGTTCTCCTGTACTGTGTCCGCAGTCTCTGGTCATCTCCTGTACTGGGTCCGCAGTCTCTGGTCCTCTCCTGTACTGGGTCCGCAGTCTCTGGTCCTCTCCTGTACTGGGTCCGCAGTCTCTGGTCATCTCCTGTACTATGTCCGCAGTCTCTGGTCCTTCTCCTGTACTATGTCCGCAGTCTCTGGTCATCTCCTGTACTGTGTCCGCAGTCTCTGGTCATCTCCTGTACTGTGTCCGCAGTCTCTGGTCATCTCTGTCCTACTGTCTGTGCAGTCTCTGGTCATCCCCTGTACTGTGTCCGCAGTCTCTGGTCCTTCTCCTGTACTATGTCCGCAGTCTCTGGTCATCTCCTGTACTGTGTCCGCAGTCTCTGGTCCTTCTCCTGTACTATGTCCGCAGTCTCTGGTCATCTCCTGTACTGTCTGCAGTCTCTGGTCATCCCCTGTACTGTCTGCAGTCTCTGGTCATCCCCTGTACTGTCCGCAGTCTCTGGTCATCTCCTGACTGTCTGCAGTCTCTGGTCATCTCCTGTACTGTCTGCAGTCTCTGGTCACTTCCTGTACTATGTCTGCAGTCCATTGGTTCAGAATATTTTTTTTCTTGTTTTTCTCTAAAACCTAGGCGCGTCTTACGGTCAGGTGCATCTTATGGAGCGAAAAATACGGTATATTCATATAGTCTTGGATGTTGAACTGATAGTGTAGGGATATTGCAAATATAGCTGCTTTGGCACATATGTAATTTATCTGCAAAGAACTCCAGGAATTGCAGCACTTCTAAAAATGTTCTGGCTTATAAGAGGTTAAGACAAGGAGGTGTATGCCAACTCATGGACTTATCACGTATGTTCCATTTTTACTGAGCGGTGGGAGTACAGCTACCCGAACATTACTAGCGCTCCAATGCTGGACCTCCGAGTTTCCCATTCTGCAGCAGCAGTTGTTCTCAGCCTCTCTTGTCTGCCCTCCTCTCCTCTGGCCCAATCACAGAAGGCTTTATATTATATGAACCCATTCACAAAATACAAATATTCTGTGAATGGACATTGAAGGGGCATGGCAGTGCAATAGCTGTACTCCTCTGTAAAAAAACAAGAGCAGTCCACAAGTTGGCATACCCCTTATTGGATGTAACCCCTTTATACCAGCAGATTTTTAAAAGGGCTGTAAACTCCGCTCAGTTTAATGTGTATGGAGTTTTTTTTTTTTTTCCTTTGGGAGAGCGCAAGAGATCAGCACAGGGCCAATCAGCGCTGTCCATACAGAGGTTAGGGGTCCTGCGTCCTCCTAGAGCAGAATGAAAACGCTTCCTACAAGTTTTAACCAGTGCTGGGCTGGACACTGATAGAAGTCACAAGACTGCTCTAACTGCTAATAGGAAAAGGTATTTAGCAGTTTATATTTATTAAAATAATTGCATTTCGGTGATCTGAGGGAGACCGGATAGAGTGAATGCAGGGTCCGGGGAGAGCGGATATAGTGAGTGCTGGGTCCGGGGAGAGCGGATATAGTGAATGCAGGGTCCGGGGAGAGCGGATATAGTGAATGCAGGGTCCGGGGAGAGACCAGATATAGTGAATGCGGGGTCCGGGGAGAGCGGATATAGTGAATGCAGGGTCCGGGGAGAGCGGATATAGTGAATGCAGGGTCCGGGGAGAGCGGATATAGTGAATGCAGGGTCCGGGGAGAGCGGATATAGTGAATGCAGGATTCGGGGAGAGCGGATAGAGTAAATGCGGGGTCCGGGGAGAGCGGATATAGTGAATGCGGGGTCCGGGGACAGCGGATATAGTGAATGCAGGGTCCAGGGAGAGCGGACAGAGTGAATGCAGGGTCCGGGGAGAGCGAATATAGTGAATGCAGGGTCCGGGGAGAGCGGACATAGTGAATGCAGGGTCCGGGGAGAGCGGACATAGTGAATGCAGGGTCGGGGAGAGCGGACATAGTGAATGCAGGGTCCGGGGAGAGCGGACATAGTGAATGCAGGGTCCGGGGAGAGCGGACATAGTGAATGCAGGGTCCGGCGAGAGCGGACATACAGTTGCAAGAAAAAGTATGTGACCCCTTGGGATTACGTGGAGTTTTGCATGAATTGGGCATAAAATGTGCTCTGAACGTCATCTAAGTCACAACAATAGAAGAACACAGTCTGCTGAACATAATACTACACACAAACATTAGATGTTGCCATGGTTTAATTGCACATAACATGTAAACATTCACAGTGCAGGGAGGAAAAAGTATGTGAACCTTTGGACTTAATAACTGGTTGACCCTCCTTTGGCAGCAATACCCTCAACCAAACGTTTCCTGTAGTTGCAGATCAGACCTGCACAACGATCTGGAGTCATTTTGGACCACTCCTCTGCACAAAACTGTTTCAGTGTAGCAATATTCTTGGGATGTCTGGTGTGAATCACTCTCTTAAGGTCATGCCACAGCATTTCAATGGGGTTGAGGTCAGGACTCTGACTGGGCCACTCCAGAAGGCGTATTCTGTGCTGTTGCAGCCATTGTTTTGTTGAATGACTTGTATGCTTTGGGTCATTGTCCTGTTGCATCACCCATCCTCTGCGGAGCTTCAGTTGGCGGACAGATGGTCGTACATTTTCCTGCAAAATGTCTTGATAAACTGTGGAATTCATTTTCCCATCAATGACAACAATCCGTCCAGCCCTGAGGCAGCAAAGCAGCTCCAAACCATGATGCTCCCTCCGCCATGTTTCACAGTGGGGATGAGGTTTTGATGTTGGTGTGCTGTTCCTTTTTTTCTCCACACATAGTGTTGTGTGTTCTTCCCAAACAACTCAATCTTGGTTTCATCTGTCCACAGTATATTTTGCCAGTAGTGCTGTGGAACATCCAGGTGCTCTTTTGCAAACTTCAAACGTGCTGCAATATTCTTTTTGGACAGCAATGGCTTCCTCTGTGGTGTCCTCCCATGTACTCCATTCTTGTTTAATGTTTTCCTTATTGTAGATGTGTCAACCAAAATGTTAGCATGTGCCAGAGATTTCTGTAGGTCTTTAGCTGACACTCTGGGATTCTTCTTTACCTCATGCAGCATTCTGCGCTGTGCTCTTGCAGTCATTTTTACAGGACGACCACGCCTAGGGAGAGTAGCAACAGTGCTAAACTTTCTCCATTTGTAGACAGTCTGTCTTACCGTGGACACATGAACGTCAAGGCTCAAGGAGATACTTTTGTAACCCTTTCCAGCTTCATGCAAGTCAACAATCCTTGATCGTAGGTCTTCTGAGAGCTCTTTTCTGCGAGGCATGGTTCACATCAGACAGTGCTTCTTGAAACCAGTAAACCCAAAACAGGTGTGTGTTTTTTTTAAGGGCAGGACAGCTGTCAGCAACACATCCAATATCATCACCCTGATTGGAGGTCAAGGTTGGCTCACTCCTGGCTCCAATTAGCTCTGGGAGAAGTCATTAAGCTAGGGCCTCACATACTTTTTCCTCCCTGCACTGTGAATGTTTACATGTTATGTGCAATTAAACCATGGCAACATCTAATGTTTGTGTAGTATTATGTTCAGCAGACTGTGTTCTTCTATTGTTGTGACTTAGATCCGGCGGGGAGACGTTCAGAGCACATTTTATGCCCAATTCATGCAAAACTCCACGTAATCCCAAGGGGTTCACATACTTTTTCTTGCAACTGTAGTGAATGCAAGGTCCGGCGGAGAGCGGACATAGTGAATGCAGGGTCCGGCGAGAGCGGACATAGTGAATGCAGGGTCCGGCGAGAGCGGACATAGTGAATGCAGGGTCCGGCGAGAGCGGACATAGTGAATGCAGGGTCCGGCGAGAGCGGACATAGTGAATGCAGGGTCCGGGGAGAGCGGACATAGTGAATGCAGGGTCCGGGGAGAGCGGACATAGTGAATGCAGGGTCCGGGGTGAGCGGACATAGTGAATGCAGGGTCCGGGGAGAGCGGACATAGTGAATGCAGGGTCCGGGGAGAGCGGACATAGTGAATGCAGGGTCCGGGGAGAGCGGACATAGTGAATGCAGGGTCCGGGAGAGCGGACATAGTGAATGCAGGGTCCGGGGAGAGCGGACATAGTGAATGCAGGGTCCGGGGAGAGCGGACATAGTGAATGCAGGGTCCGGGGGGGAGACCATAAAGAGTGAATGCAGGGTCCGGGGAGACCGTAGAGAGTGAATGCTGGGTCCGGCGAGACCGTAGAGAGTGAATGCAGGGTCCGGGGAGACCGTTAGTAGAGAGTGAATGCAGGGTCCGGGGAGACCGTAGAGAGTGAATGCTGGGTCCGGGGAGACCGTAGAGAGTGAATGCAGGGTCCGGGGGGAGACCGTAGAGAGTGAATGCAGGGTCCGGGGAGATTGTAGAGAGTGAATGCAGGGTCCGGGGAGACCGTAGAGAGTGAATGCAGGGCCCGGGGAGACCGTATAGAGTAAATGCAGGGCCCGGGGAGACCGTATAGAGTAAATGCAGGGCCCGGGGAGACCGTATAGAGTGAATGCAGGGCCCCGGGGAGACCGTATAGAGTGAATGCAAGGTCCGGGGAGACCGTATAGAGTGAATGCAGGGCCCGGGGAGACCGTATAGAGTGAATGCAGGGCCCGGGGAGACCGTATAGAGTGAATGCAGGGTCCGGGGAGACCGTAGAGAGTGAATGCAGGGTCCGGGGAGACCGTATAGAGTGAATGCAGGGTCCGGGGAGACCGTAGTAGAGAGTGAATGCAGGGTCCGGGGAGACCGTAGAGAGTGAATGCAGGGTCCGGGGAGACCGTAGAGAGTGAATGCAGGGTCCGGGGAGACCGTAGAGAGTGAATGCAGGGTCCGGGGAGACCAGATATAGTGAATGCAGGGTCTCGGGGGAGAGCGGATATAGTGAATGCAGGCTCCGGGGAGACCGTATAGAGTGAATGCGGGGTCTGGGGAGACCAGATATAGTGAATGCAGGGTTCGGGGAGACCGTATATAGTGAATGCAGGGTTCGGGGAGACCGTATATAGTGAATGCAGGGTCCGGGGAGACCGTATATAGTGAATGCAGGGTCCGGGGAGACCGTATAGAGTGAATGCAGGGTCCGGGGAGACCGTATAGAGTGAATGCAGGGTCCGGGGAGACCGTATAGAGTGAATGCAGGGTCCGGGGAGACCGTATAGAGTGAATGCAGGGTCCGGGGAGACCGTATTTTATAGAGTGAATGCAGGGTCCGGGGAGACCAGATATAGTATGCAGGGTCCGGGGTATAGTAACACTTTAATAATATGCACAATTGACTTTTATAAGAGGTCCGGCTGTTCTGGTGAGTCTATCCTGTGGAAGGTGATGGAGCGTGACTCACTGGGTGCAGTATTGGAAGGCAAGTTCTTCTGGCACATGCACAGCAAGGTGACTGTACATCACAGAAAAGCTGGATCAATTGTTTCTGCTACACAGTGAATGCATTGAATGTACCACACAGACTTTACACTGTATTCCTCCTTTTTTCATTACTAAATGCTTTACTTTATAAATGTGCTTTCACATTTCAATACCTCTGATTCAACCTCAACGAATATATTGTACCCAAACAGGCCATCTCACAAAAAGCACAAGTTGAGGTCCCTTAAGGTGAACAAAAACTTTCATTTGCATAAATTCCTCAATAACCACAAAGGATATAACTTTACTTTGCATGCACCAAATGTATTTACAAACCCAGATATTGCTTTGTAAAAGTAGCAGTGACATCATCACTGTACTGTACATAGCCTGTGCAGAAAGCAGCGCCGTAGGAGGAGTCTGCAGCTCCTCCCACTACAGGCTGCCTGCAGAAAGACCGGTCCCCCAGCACAAGGCCAGAGAGCAGCAGTGAGCGGTCTTTATGACAGGAAGCTCCTCACAGAGGGAAAGTCTCGCACTGGATTACTGCACAGATCTGGAAGAAATACACAAATCACACCAAGAATCAAATACGAATACGCACGTCTCTTGTACCTGGACAATATTTGCTCATCCTGGAGGTCAGCTTAAAAGCAAGATATCATTTCACTGTTTTTTTTACCTTCATGCCCTTCCCGACACCTTCTGCTGGTGGGAACTCCAGACCCTCTTTGCAGGTATACAGACAATCTATCACCTTCTTGTTCTCCAACTTGCCGGATCTAACCATTAATCCGGCGAGATTTCCATGGAAGAACTGCGCCATGTGCTGCTCGCCACCTTGAGATAGAGAGAGAGAGAGAAAGAACAAAGTCAGTCCAGAAATGTGAGCACCGGGCTCCTCTGTGGGCATGCTCTTCTCTTCCAGGTGAGGTTATAGCTTGACATGCAGGTTAGTAGCACCCAGCCGTGGGGGCAGCCTGGCTTTGTCCAGGGGCCACGACAGGGGAGGGACATGCAGATGAGCTCTGGATGTGGCAGGTGAAAGTGGTGGAAATAAGAAAGGCGTGGCCTTGGTGAGTGGCGGCAAATAAACTTTGGCCAATGTTTGGTATATCGCTTGTTTCTACAATAGAATCCTGGGGAGGGTGGGGGAGGGGGGCTTCATATAACCTCCATTTACAAATTGTTTTCTAATTTTAGTAAATGTTTCATTTTAATTTAAAGTGCATCTAGAGGACAAAATAAAAATGGATTTATATTGTTCAAGGATGGCGTGTCCAATCACGTGAAGGTAGCAGCCTATAACATGGGGTTGTCTATGAATTTCCAGCCTGGGTCCTGTACTGTAGGATTAGGACAGTGAAATAATTGCCATTGTTCCTTCTACTAGCTGGACAGATCTCAGCAGCTTGCAGCACTAAAATGTATTGAACCCGGCTCTACATTCCCAGAAAACCACCTTTGAGGTCTCCTCCAGAACCTTTGAGGTCTCCTCCAGAACCTTTGAGGTCTCCTCCAGAACCTTTGAGGTCTCCTCCAGAACCTTTGAGGTCTCCGCCAGAACCTCCAGCCAGAACCTTTGAGGTGTCCTCCAGAACCTTTGAGGTGTCCTCCAGAACCATTGAGGTCTCCTCGCCAGCTTGCTTGAGCTCCCTTTATATGTTTTGGGAACCGATGTGTTTAAAATGTGCACTTATTCCTTAACCCCTTCCCATCCACCCGCATCAACAGCACTCCCGTCCGGCCGTTTATCGGCATGGGCCGGACGGGAGTGCTGTTGATGCGGATGGACGTTCTAAACGTCCCCCCCCACTTCCACTGCCTGTGCACGCTCCCTGATCGCTGTACGGGACCTCTGTGTGAGCTCTCAATTCATGTGATCACTGATTGGCCAATCAGTGATCACATGAATAGTAGTAAACAAGATGTCACTTGATGACATCATTGCTTACTACGTTTGAAATCTGTGAATGATCACAGAGGTCACATGGTACAAGACCATTCACAACAGCCTTGAACCATGTGACAAGCTGTGACCAATCACAGCTCGCACAGTATTTCTCAACGGCTGCAGGAATGCAGCCAGAGAGAAGAAGAAATTATTGCTTTTACAGTTTTTATGGGTGTAAAAGCAATCAATGTAAAAAAAGAAAAAACACAAAATCTTCAACACCCCCAGAAGTAGTACAGTGTCACTATGGTGACATTGTACTGCTAGGGTGACAGTATGTAAAAAAAAAAAAAAAATGCATAAATAATATTAAAAAAAAAATAAAAATGTAAAAAAACAAAATTTGAAAAATTATCATTTTTGGTTATAAACTAATTCGGGTTATTTTTTTTTCACACTAAAAAGATAGATGAATACTTTTTGGGCAAGATTTATGAAGAAAGATTATTTGCAAAATTTTATAAGAAAAACACTTTTTTTTCAAAATTTTTGGTCTTTTTCATTTATATAGCAAAAAAAATTAAAATCCAAGCGGTGAATAAATACCACCAAAATAAAATCATCTTTCTAAAAAAAAAATGCTAAAAATTTCATCTGGGTACAGTGTTGCATGACCGCGAAATTGTCATTCAAAGTGTGATAGCACTGAAAGCTGAAAATTGGCCTGGACTGGAAGGGGGTGAAAGTGGTTACGCCTAGGTTCACGCTATGCGGGGCTGCTTGCGGGTATCACACAACTGCAACCACCCGCAGCCAAAATACACCGCTCTTTGCAGATGCACGAGGCTGCCAGTCATTCTTAATCACACTCCCACACATCTAAAAATGCAGCATGTTTGCGGGTGCAGGAACTGCTGAGAAATCACATGGTACAAAAGCACCATGCAATTTCCTGGCCGCTGCAGTTTGGTGCTGGAACCTTTTGTGGCTAGATGCACACTATGATGGGCGGTTGCAGGAAGTTCTCACAGCCGCAACAAAAACACGCTGCTCTTTCGAGACATACGGGGCTGACATTCATTCCTAATGGCATCTAAAAATGTAATATGTTTGCAGGTGCGGTAACTGCTGGGAGATCGCACAGTGAAAAAGCGCCATGTACTTTCCTGGCTGCTGCAGTTTAATAATAGTGCAGGAACCTTTTTCCTGCGTGAAGCGAAGGCACAGCATCTGATTCAAATGAATGGGCTGCTGTACCCCAGCAAAGCAGGACTGCGATGGTGCGAACCTAGCCCAGATGACCACGAAGCATAAACTGCATGATCTGTGGTCCAAACATTTCGTTTTTGCAGATTATAAGGACATAAATACACCAAGTAAACAGCAAAAGATACTTCACTTGTGTCACCAACTTTCAAATGTGCATAAATGACATCGCTCCAGGCAAACCTATGCAGTGGCAGTCATGGGAGCATAGGCTCTCCGGGATCTGCCATCTCCCTTCCAGGCATACAAACACAAGCTGGACTCCACTGTGGTTTCTTTTTCCTGAACTGCAACAAGCTTTACTGTTACCAGATTAGGTCAGAAAGACATTCTTCTCCAATGTCAGATGTGAAGGTCCTATGATTAAAGGGGTTTTAAACTTCAGACATGAAATATGAGCAAAGCATATCCCTCTATAGTGTGAACTTGCTTCAATTCAGAGCACCGAGTGATATTTCGGTCTGCTGACTTGCTCATCTGCTATCTGCATGACAAACTTCTGACCAGTTTCCCTGACACCAAGAGGTAAAAAGGTGATAGGAGAGCAGGGGCGGACTGACAACTCATGGGGCCCCTGGGCAATTGGGGATCATGGGGCCCCTGTGTCCTTGCCCAAACTCAAAAAAGCCTATGAAAAAGGTACCAGGGGCATCTCATGGGGCCCCCTACTGACCCCGGGCCCTCAGGCAGTGCCCGAGTTTCCAAATGGTCAGTCCCCCCTGTAGGAGAGGGACCTTCAACACACACTGTGATTGACAGCCTCAGCACTGTTCCTGTGTGTTGTGTGAAAGGAAGTGTGTCCCTTCCCTCCAATCACCTGTCACTATGCTCTGGAGAGTGTAACTTCAGCTCTCCACCCCCTGCTTTCTGGAAGATCAGCCAAGCTTTATAAATTCTGGACTTTGAACAGCTGCAGAGAAGACTGCAGATTAACAGGTACCACTTATGTAGGAGGATTTATTTCATCTGTGTATCATCTGAGGATAGTCACTACATTGGGAATGAGTAAGGGTGTACAACCACTTTAAGCCCCCTGGGTGAAATGCGTCAGTGGCAGAATCACATCTGACTCCTCACATCTGTAAGCATGCTATCCAACGTGTGGTAAATTTTCAAAGGAATACATGGAGAACTCATGCCAATACCATTATTAGTTCTGCTGTATGAGGAGACAAGTTCTGCCAAGAGGGGTGCAGGCCTGACAAGGACAGAATTATCCATCTCCAAAAAAACAAAAAAAAAAAACGTTGGGGAGTTCTGTAATGAATACAATTCTCAAAGTTTATGCTTCAACCACCCGGCCTTACAGTATTCAAATACTTTTTTTTCCTTCTTTTTAATATCCTTGAAGACATGTAGTTGCCATTGTATTACATGTATGTGTTTAGAGATGCTGGAAGATAGATGGACGCTATGTTAGTGTGTGTTTAGGTCACCTCTGAGTATTATGAGATGGAGATAAAAAGAGAAACAATGTAAACCTTCAATATGCTGACTGAAAACAGAAGAGGGACAGGAGCAGAGCCCCCAATACAGGCTAAATAAAAAGAGAGGAAGTGAGTGTGAAGTTCATGCGAGGAGCGGATGGCATGAGATGTGTGTGTGATATAGAAGGTACGCAGGAGGATGGGGAAGGGGGACCGCAGACACCTGCATCACTCTCAGTCATTGGCTCAGTGACATTTCCACTTCCTGAATACTCTGCAGAAAAGTAAGAGAGGGAACAAACAAGGAAAGTGACCACAAGGTTAGGGACATTTGTAACAATGACAAAACAAGTTATGACAACAAGCGCACAGCTACGTGACGGAGCGAAGGTCGGCCCAGGGGCAGCTCTACTCTACACCTGGACCAGCACAGTCAAGGTACGATGTACACTTTGGACCAGGATGGTGATGGCTGTACACACTCCAAACACAAGAGCAGCCAAGGCACATGGTGACGAGGAAGACTCCCGTACATTATTATAAATGGTCAGACTCAAGGAAACCGCCATCTTCAGCTTGAGGACCTGGCTGAGTAGGACAGCTTCTCCTGTTCATTCTAAAACATGGGTGTCAAATTGGCGACCCTCCAGCTGCTGTCAAACTACAAGTCCCATGAGGCACTGCAAAAGTGACAGTCACAAGCATGACTCCCAAAGGTAGTGGGACTTGCAGTTTTGCAACAGCTGGAGGGCCGCCAGCTGTTACCAAACTACAAGTCCCATGAGGCACTGCAAGAGTGACTGTCATCCCAAAGGTAAGCATGGGACTGGAGGGCCGCCAGCTGTTACCAAACTACAAGTCCCATGAGGCACTGCAAGAGTGACAGTTACAAGCATGACTCTCAAAGGTAGACTGATGGGACTTGTAGTTTTGCAACAGCTGGAGGGCCGCCAGCTGTTACCAAACTACAAGTCCCATGAGGCACTGCAAGAGTGACAGTTACAAGCATGACTCCCAAAGGTAGAAGCATGATGGGACTTGTAGTTTCGCAACAGCTGGAGGGCCGCCAGCTCTTACCAAACTACAAGTCCCATGAGGCACTGCAAGAGTGACAGTTACAAGCATGACTCCCAAAGGTAAAGGCATGATGGGACATTTGAATAGTTGGAGGGCTGCCAGTTTGACACCCCTGGTTTACAACCTACACACACTGCAAGAATCCTATTCCAGGAAGACGTATTTCCGAGGTGCTGGGATTTCTATGCTTATTCAAATGCGGGAAGTTTTTAAAAATGCTCACTAGCTTGGTGACACAAAACAGGGCTGCCTCAAGAGGGACCCAAAATTGACACAAAGGGGTTGATTTACTAAACATGAAGAGTGCAAAGTGTGGTGCAGCTCTGCATAGAAACCAATCAGCTTCCACTGATTTGTCGAAGCTTAACAGAACAAGCAGAAGGTGGAAGCTGATTGGTTTCTATGCAGAGCTGCCCCAGATTTTGCAGATTTAGTAAATCAACCCCAAAACATAAATATACACAAATGGGTGCCAAAACCAAAGATGATTTTAATAGTTCACAACTCAACCACAAAACAGATCTGATGCATTTTGGGGGCAAAACACTCTCCTTTATTAGGGCTGCAAAGACATAAAAAACAGTTTTTAAAAATTCTTGACTGGAATGGTTGCACTCTTATTGGAATATTTTTCACCTGTATTTGTACAAACCTTAGAACCTTGTTGGTGTTCAATTTGAGAAAGTCTATTCACAAGGCCATGATCTACAGCATTTGCTGACAACAATAATAAATGGGGGTAGTTTATGTTCTGTGTTATGAACGTTTTTTTTTAGTCTTACACTTTTGTTAACCCAACAATCCTTGGTATGGTTTATTATGCAATGGTACACCTTTTATGTTTTCTTGTTTTTATTCAGCTGTACACAAGACATTATCATTTCTTTTATGTGTTATGCCTGCTTCGTAGTCCTGATTAGAGGTGTGTTGTTGACCCTAAAATATGTTGGCTATTTTTTATGGTCGAAATGTAAATAAAAACTTTTTATAGACTCTTTCACATTTTGGGTTAGGAGGCCATTTGTGCAGGTTTTCATTTTGGCTGCTATAAAGCATCTAACAAAGTAAACATTAGAAAATCTGTCTTTGATAGTTCTACATTTGTAATTGAAAGGAGACACACGAACATCAGGACACCTCCTCTGTGTGGTCCCTAGCTTGATGTACAGAAATGTTCCTTGTCTACTCTGAGTGCAGAACACCTGACTGGTTCCAGGTCCGGATTCTGACCCCCCTAGTCTGAGTGCTCCTATAGAGGAAACTGTAAGCGGTGGAAACCATGTCAAATTCAGGTACTTATACTGGTTACAGTTAAAAAAAAAATATATATTGAATGATTTACAAAGGAATAAAGAGAAGTGTTCATTTTCACTTCAGTTCATCCACCTCCCTTCCTAACAGGCAGACATTATAAGATTTATTAGCAAGCCAACATGGTTGTTTTGTATGTAGTTGAAGTAACCCTGACACAATCCTAGCCTCTCAAATGGAACAAATATTGAATAGATGTAAAGCAGAGGCTACAGCTCTTTTGGTTATACTTCTCCTGTGGGTCACAGGAGTGCCCTTAGTTCTGCACTCCCGTGAGCCATATTCAGCTGACAGTGGGTTAAAATCCACTGTTGGCTGATGTCACTCGGCTGGTCCAGACAATAATGTCGGGATCCATCTAGATTGCCCACTTGCACAGCTCGGTGCTCCAGTGAACGCTGGAGGGGCAGAGCAGAGAAGCGGTGACTGACAGTCAGCAAACACAAATGCTCCTGTGCTTGGGGATGGACTCAGAGTAGGCTAGGACCACATCATGAATGTATTGGAATATGCACACCTTGCTGCCCTCAAAAGTGACTGACAGTCACTGGCTCCATGCTCACTGAAGACCGAGAACTGAGCGATCAGTGGTCTTTGATCGCTCATTTCTTGGTCTTAGAGGCGGTTGAGGACCGATACTGCATCCACCTAGGTGAGTATGATTGTTCTTTTTGAATCCTGAACTTCTCTTTTAATCTCAGTGAAGGTCACATGCTAAAATCTTCAGTAGATACAGATACATCAGCAGCAGAAAACACATGCAACTCAATGGTCTCAAATCTTCCTTTAGAAATCAAGCTTTGTCGTGTGTCATCTACCTATTCAAGTCATATTAGTGACCTCTGGTCAGACTAAATAATCAATAAGGAGACTTCACGGGCAGAACAAATTTCAACTTTTACCAGAAAAGTGAGTATTTGGAATTAATTTCAGCTGCATATCTCTGGATCACTTACCCTAGGTTCACATCTGTGCGGGCGGTGACGTTGTGGATCCGCACGAAAATCCATGCAGCCACACCACCCACACAGAGAATTGCGGACCGGCGGGCGGGTGCCATTAGTTCTAATGGCATGCCTCCCGCACCGGGAAACGCAACCGTACTGGGAACCGAGGTTCCCGTCCGTGCTGTGTTTTCCAAAGAAGTGCAGGAACTTCTTTCCCTGCGCGTCACAGGCACGGGAGTCCATTCAAATGAATGGGCTCTTGTGCCCGTGCAAAACGCAGCCCGCACTGCCACATAGATGTGAACCAGGGGTAAGGGCCTTGATATGCGGATCCGAGTGACAGTAACTTGTTTATGTAATTTTCTAAGACTAATGAATCTCCCAGGTGTGTGGCGGGGTCACTTAATGGCCTTAGACCACAGAGCCTGCTCACCTCCGCCTAAGCTGATCGAGTATCGACCAATTTGTTTGATACGGAGCAACAAACAAGTCTCCCGACAGAATGATACCTTAGAATGGTTAGGTTAATGCTACAAAGGTGTTTGAGCTAAACGAATATTCACAAGAGTCCAGCCTACCAGTCCATGCAGGATCCATGACACTAATGGTTAACTGCCATTTATGAGAACTAATTAAAGGTCAAATCCACTGGCAGGGCACTGGTGGACGGTAACCCCTGCTGGTGTCTTGTATCTCTCGATGACTCAGATTGTGAGATTTCCAAGCAGCAATTTATAGCAACATCATCTTCCCCATCTGAACAAGTCCGTCTTACTCACAGCTGGACTCCAATTATGTGTTCACTCTACCATATCTACATTTCCATCGGGGAAAAAAGCTGCAGAGAATAGGGATCTCTGGATACTGCTCTAAAACAACATCTAAAATGGCCGCACCCAGGAGGAAAATACTAATATGCAGCTGAGTTATCTTTGACATTGACGGGCTTGGCAGAAACACATTATTTCATCTCATATGCTGTAATTTAACTGCTTTCTAGTGTTCTGCACTTTATAGACGTACGCAGGTCAGTGTATTACTGAACAATTACCTTGCCAGCAGGCACCAACCACAAGCTGAGTCTCCAGATGGGTAGGATGCAGGGGGTAGTCCTCAGTCATTGTGGTGGGGTCATAGGAAACCCCATCCACGTACAGTGTGACTGCAGGGAAGTCCACGGTCAGTACATAATGATGCCACTCTTTGTCACAAGCCTGGAGGAACAAAAAATGACATATGACACAAAACAGTTCTTTATTGTCCACGAATAAAAAAAAACCATAATGGCAATCTTAGAAAAAAAAATGTATAACCCTCTTAAAAGGCATTCACATCCAGAATTCACTGTATTTCTTACACTGAAACACCAGCACAAAATGAATTAAGAATAGGGAACCTCTGTCAAGGATTTATAATTGTTTTCTATTATAAACGGCGGTCCTTCCCTTCTTGTCCCCGTGACCACAGAAACAAGTGCTGGGAACCTCCTTACAGGAACAATGCAATAAATTCTTCTTTTAGTCTCCTGCCTCTTATGAAGAGAAATTCTGGTGACCATAAAAGAAAGAAAAGGAAATCTTCTCAATGGGGTCAAAGACTTACAGAGGTTCTGATCCTTCCCCACTCTCAACAAAGCACACAACAAATGATAAATAAAATAATAATAAAAAGTGTACATTTATCTGAAGGAATTATCGTTAACATAACTCTTTCTATTTGAACTTCTCTTGCAAAATATAAATGAAGAAGGTGCTTGCATGTTTTCTTTTTTGCTGAATTTGGTACACATGATTTGTCTGTCGCTGTAGGTCATTAAAGCCCAGATTTCCAAGGCCAACCTTGAAGCGGCGGCTGGTTAAATTGAATTGAATTTGCCTACATTTTAATTTAAAGGGCAAAAAGGCCTTTATTTCTTGTTTAATAAATATCGTGTTTATGTTTTTTCTAATTATAGACTGAAAAATGGATAAAAAGGCGCATGGTGGTTTCTTTTGTTTGTGATTTTTTTAATACTGCAATTGTAATTGGTTGATGTTTGACTGTTGTTCTATTACTAGACCATGGATGCTGCAGTTATTCTGCTGTTTTTATGTTAATAAACTTGTTCTTTTGTTTGATACTGCACTTGTACACTTCAAACTGCAATCTTCAGGTCCTTTGGGTCTTGAGAACGCTCGATGGGAGGGGACGAAACGCGTTGACGCATTTCTGGTCCATACTCCATACGTCTGACGTCACTTCCGGTGAGTGGAACGCACGCCGAGCGGTGCGTTCCAGCAGCCATCTTGTGGGATTTATGCTGGTTCTCTGCTGTTCCTCTGTTCCATCTGGCTACATTGGTTGTGAGAATCCTGGAATATGTGGCTGTGAGCTGGTTCTTATCATCAGGCTGGTATTGGCTTAATAAATGTGCCCTTTACAACTGATAAAATGTGAGTGTCCTGGATTTTGTCTTTTGTCTCAATATTGATCTGGCAATATTACACTATATAAGTTTTTTTTTCTTTGGTGATATGGTGGAGCAAATTAGAAAGCTGAGGTGAGGACCTGAAAAAAGATCTTAACCTGGTGGTGTAGGCTTCCATACAGCTGATGAAAAGAGGGTTTAGGATTCCCCAATATCCTGAAAGGCTTCTCATTCACCAATATCTGGTGAGTGCATTTGATGTTGGTGTGCATGGGTGATAGGTGGAAGTTTTATTTGATCCTAAGATTATTTGGAATCCCCAGTCCTCATCACAAGTGGTCCTGTGGTGTTTTTATTGAAGATTTTTGATATAAGATATTTACTAATGAACATGGGACATTTATGTTTTGTGATTTACTAATATTTTATGTAGGTCTATTTTGCTCTGTTTAATTTATAAATATCACTATTTGTGTTTTCACATTTTTGCACAGCAGCAATTTAGAATATTGATTTATTTAGTTTTGCATTGGTGCAGGAATATTTTCTTTGTGATTATTTTAATACTGCAATTGTAATTGGTTGATGTTTGACTGTTGTTCTATTACTAGACCATGGATGCTGCAGTTATTCTGCTGTTTTTTATGTTAATAAACTTGTTCTTTTGTTTGATGCTGCACTTGCACTTCAAACTGCAATCTTCAGGTCACAGCTTCAGGGCATTGGCTAGCTGAAGATATAGTTTAACCCCTTGGCGCCGGCGCCTTCTGGCCCTTTAATGGTTTCAGAAGCCGCGAGGCGGGGCGGGGTTTTAGGGTTATGTAACCGCCATGATTCGCTGTCACGGCGGTCACATGATCGGGAAATGCCGCGATCGAAAGAGATCTGGACCTTTCCGTGAGTACTGGACATGTGTGCTGGGAGCGTGCAGGGCGCGTGCTCTCAGAACATATGTTTTTCTTAATTGCATGCAAATGTGCGGCTGGTCGGCGTCAAGGCCCAGATGCCGAGAGGCCGCACATTTGTGTGTGGCCGGTGCCAAGAGGTTAATGAAGGCTGCAATCTGCATGAGACCAGAGATCTCAGCATATGTAGAATATTGCCTCTGTATGGGGCACTGTGCAGAGGTATGTTATTCTACAGCGTACAGGTGGTAAGGGCTTAAAGGATATGTTCACCTTTTGAAAAAAAAATAATAAATGCACATTTTTTGCAGGTAAAAATAATAAATGTGCTTCAGATCACAGGTGCAGTGTTAGGCTCCTGCAGACTCAACATAGCTGTCTGACTGTACCTCGTATTGGACTACAAGAGCGCTCATCAACACCCTCATAGTTCATTGAGAACTACAAGCCATCAGCTGCAATGGGTGATGATACTAGTAGGCATTCATTCACACGAAAACTACAATTACATGGCCGTGTAGGTGGAGCCCTGCATGGCCGCAATGCGTTCAAATTGTGACAGCGGGTGCAGGGAGAAGATCCCTCGCCCATTGTCACAGGGAGGGGAGATTGGTGGGGAGAGGTATCAGATTCTGCCTTTTACATGCTCCACCATAGAAAAAGCAACGTGTTCCAAAGGTGGACGTATCCTTTAAGGATGGCTGAAACAGCTTTCTACCTATGTTCACTCAAAGTCTACCCACTGCTATACATCATCTGCACCCTCATGCCGGTACCAAAAACAAATGGGCTCCTAGAACAAAGTTAGGCTGGACATAACCGCTAGCCATGCACAGTGCAGCTCAGGCACCCTCAAGGTAGAGGCATTGCATGCAAGGGAGTAAAGAGAGTGCTTTTTTTTTTTTGACTACGGTCACAATGCTGCAACCTGATTTTCAGTGCAATTATGCAGTGCAACTTGGATGTGGTTTGTATGTTCTATGGGGCCAAAACCCTGCTGAAACGTACAGGAACCTTTCCCAAAATCACGCCATGCTGATTTGCACTGATGGGAACGAGCATCATTGAAAACAATTATTTCCATTGTCATGCGATTCAAGTCACATCTGAAATCACGCTAGTGTGTACGGAGCCTTTGTGATTTCATATCAAACCTCATCCAAAAGACAAATGACTGAAATTAAATTTTAAAAAGTACCTCACTATATGTCGTATAAAATCTAAAATGGCAAATACGTTGGAAATGCGTCTAAATAAAAAAATATCAGCATGTGATGCATCCAGGAATTTTTAACTAGTTGAGGTGGAAGGAAAACAGACACCTCAATACGTGGAATAGTATTTGGTTGTATACTGGGAAGTAACAGCAAGGAGGAACAGTCTGGTATAATGGGCCGACACAAAGCCTGCAACGGTGCGAGTCAATCCGAGTCTACTCCAATCATCTCCTTTGGAATACAAGGTCACCTTGGCTTCAGCTCTGCGGCTCCCGAGGGGCCAGAGGATGACTTTCAGCATCCGTAAAAGCTGCAATAGCAATACTAGAACCGGCTTGTCAGGACTATCTTGGCACGGCCTAATTTGATTCATTAAGAAGGAACTGGTGGCTGCAAGGCCTTCATCACCCTTATTAACACAAGTGCTGAATTGTATCACATTCACATTAAAGTGACAAGACATTATCTGGAAAACACTGTGAAAAATGCCTCATAGCTCTCTGCTCCAGACTATTCTAGGAGAATCGCTTTCTTTTTTTACTGTACATTTTAATGGATGAAGATTTCCGTGCAATGCTAGAAAGGTCATTCATTATTACAGAACATCTAAGCTGTTACCATCTAAATATATATGGAGATATAGGTATTTTAGTAATGATCTTCTGTGTTGGGAGTTACTACTGAGTAGGGGATCAGAAAAGCTGAGGTTACTACTGAGCAGGGGAACAAAAAAAGCTGGGGGTTACTACTGAGAGGGGGATCAGTAAAGCTGAGGGGGGATCAGAAAATACTACTGAGTGGGGGGATCAGAAAAGCTGGGCTTTACTACTGAGTGGGGGATCAGAAAAGCTGGGCTTACTACTGATTGTGGGGGATCAGAAAAGCTGGGCTTACTACTGAGTGGGGGATCAGAAAAGCTGGGGGTTACTACTGAGAGGGGGATCAGTAAAGCTGGGGGTATTACTGAGTGGGGGGATCAGAAAAGCTGGGCTTACTACTGAGTGGGGGATCAGAAAAGCTGGGCTTACTACTGAGTGGGGGATCAGAAAGCTGGGCTTACTACTGAGAGGGGGATCAGTAAAGCTGGGGGTACTACTGAAATGGGGGGGGGATCAGAAAAGCTGGGCTTACTATTGAGTGGAGGATCAGAAAAGCTGGGCTTACTACTGAGAGGGGGATCAGTAAAGCTGGGCGTACTACTGAATGGGGGGGGGATCAGAAAAGCTGGGCTTACTATTGAGTGGAGGATCAGAAAAGCTGGGCTTACTACTGAGAGGGGGATCAGTAAAGCTGGCGGTACTACTGAGTGGGGGGATCAGAAAAGCTGGGCTTACTACTGAGTGGAGGATCAAAAAAGCTGGGCTTACTACTGAGAGGGGGATCAGTAAAGCTGGGGGTTCTACTGAGTGGGGGGGGATCAGAAAAGCTGGGCTTACTACTGAGTGGGGGGATCAGAGAAGCTGGGCTTACTACTGAGTTGGGGGATCAGAAAAGCTGGGCTTACTGAGTGAGTGGGGGGATCAGAAAAGCTGGGCTTACTACTGAGTGGGGGGATCAGAAAAGCTGGGCTTACTACTGAGTCAGGGGGATCAGAGAAGCTGGGCTTACTACTGAGAGGGGGATCAGTAAAGCTGGGGGTACTACTGAGTGGGGGATCAGAAAAGCTGGGCTTACTACTGAGCAGG